CTCATTAGAAATGCTGACGATTGGTTGTTAAGGAGCTGATTGTCTTGATACTTTAGTGTGGTGTGTGTGTGCATCTTAAAACCATAACTTTTAGCCTCTTTAGCGCTATCTCTCTATCTTCTCATAATCACAAATAGTCATCTCAGCAATGAATAACAAACTTTTCAGAGTTCTACATCTCTGATGATTCATTGTTATAAATAAGTTCACCCTCAAACTATTTATGCACACACATACCATCATTTAAAATAGAAGCTCCACATAATTCAAACTAGTTCTACATTAAAGCTACACTTTAGAAACATATCTTTACAAAACAGCTAACGTTTAAAATTTTTTTTTTTTACATTTTGCAATCAGGGCATTGCACTGGATATTTATCTGGGACACAAAAATTATATCCCCTACTTTGCGTTACACCGCCACGAGCTCTGGCGAGAGCAGCGGTTGGACGGTGAGAGCGGCGAGGAGAATTGAAGCAAAGTCCTTTTAGGCAAGTCATGCCACTCGCCATCTTGGCATCGCCTCCGGGCAGCTATTTCGGACTAACAAGACCCATCTAAATGAATGGGCAGAGAGTCAGAACTGCACTTTCACTGGTCACCGGGACATAAAAACTGCTTGTATAGAAACAGTAGAAAAATATGATAAAAATCACTGAGAGAGTTTGATGACTGCCCCAAAATAAAGATTTAAAAGGACTTTTTCCCCACAGGTTATACGTTTACTATGAATGCACAAGGGTTCTCGTCTCCGCTGTCGCAAATTCAATTGTGCGCATGTGTCAGTGGAACCAGACGATAGGCTTACATGTTTCCCGGCTTGACTGTTAAAAGCAGACGATTGGCTTTCCAGCAGGAGGGGTGGGGCATGTGCATACAACCACCATCTTTGGTACAGGTTTTCCCTTTATAGTTGTATTCATAGACATATACACTAGACCTCACCTTGGCTACGGCAGTTCATTGGAACGAATGCGTCAATAGAGCCGCCATCTTAAAAAAGGGGAGCCCCTCCACTTTAATGCATCAGCGTCAATGTAGTAGACACAGGTCTAACAGAAATAAAATCACCATAAATCATCATGAATGCGATTTTTCTTGTTTTTTTGGTTTGTTCCAACAGTCAGACATGTATTTATCATTGATTCCAGAAAGAATTTTTTTTTTTTTTAAACATCTTCCTAGTTCAGATTTCATCCGTGAACATCATACGCTGCACAAAAGTCCGCCACCATCAATGAATTTGAAGTAAAGGCAGAGATAGCAGCATTACCTAGCTACTTCCTATGACAAGACCCCTGTTCCAAGATGGCGGCGGTTTTGACGCATGCTTAGAACCCCAAGGTGAGGTCTAGTGTATATGTCTATGAGTTGTATTGAGGAAGTGGCATGTCTCATATAGCCATTCTCAATCGGTCAGAATGGCTGATCCGGAGGGCGGCTAGAAGGTTGAACCCACCAGGATATTGACTCAATAGCACTGGCATCTTGGCCCACTGGCATCTTGGCCTCTTGGGCATGGTAAAGTTGTTTACTGAAAACAAACAAAGATCACTGACTCTATCACTAAACTTCCTGCCCAAAAGGGTTAAAGAATGAGTGTGAATATAAAATGTAAAAAGTGCAAAAAAAGGCTGGATTATGATCTTTTGTTCTTTTTATTGTGAAACATGCTGAAACAATATTTGAAGAGCATTTCCATGTGCATTGATATGATTGTTATCCACTATTCCTGTCAGCCCTAGATTATAAAAATGATAATAAATAAATAACTAAATAAAGTGGTGCCAAAGCATATTCAGAGATGAGCTCAGCCAAGGCCAGGGGAGGTTGCAGAAAATCTGTCACTTGATGTGTATTGGGGATGCCAAAGTGGACAGCTATCTGCTTTGGGGTACTTCAGGTACAGCAATATCACGTCACATGATTGAAAACCCATTCATAAAATTCAAAACCGATTCGAGATTACACAGCATCTGAAATTGCATTCATTTACTTTATCTGCATTGCCAGCTGTCAGACTAAAGGCTGTGCCATTTTACAGCATTCAAACAACTAAAAAGAAAAAGGAAATTACCAAAAAAATAAAAATAAATAAAAATCACATGAATTTTGACCACCAAAAGATAATCTGACCTTCATTAACATGCACTTGATTACATGTGCCACTTGATTAGAATCATCACTGTCTGTTACATGCTGTGCTAAATTGCATTCTTGCGCTACAGGTGTATCTTTGTTTTTGATTTTATTTTTATTGATTGGTGTATTTTGCTCAGACAGGCTATTTTCACCCTTTGTCGCCTTTCCTAAGGAGATCTATATGGGCCAGAGCTACGATAAAAGATGAATACGTAACCTGAATGTTAAATTAGATTTTTAAAGCACTGCCACAAGGAAAAACATGTCAGGTCCTTAGTAATTGTCCCTAAAGAGGAGACCTCTGACTCATTATTCGCTAACCTCATATTTTATTCTGTTTTATTGGACATGCTTGACTACAGATGAATCATGTCAGTATATTTTATATAAGGTTGCATGCTCATACATGCATCACTTCATGAAATGGAATTAGTAAACAATGGCCTAGACTTGAGCAGGTGAAAACAGAACATTTTAACCCTTTAAGAATGTGTGATTAAGATTATTGTTTGGATTATAAACAATAAAGGCAAACTGTACATTTTTAAAAATGGAGAGACAAGTTTTACTCATGAATGAGGAGTCAAGGACGGCTCCAGTTCAAATCCTATTGTTAGCTCCTTTAAACCTGTTGTAGAGTTCTTGTCTTATGACCTCCATGCAAGTCAGGAAAATGCTAAATACTAAACTCAATTCCTACAGGAACTGTGCAGAAATGGAAAATTTATGAACTCAACCCAACAATTTGCAATGCATTACATCCATTAAAATACCAAATGGAATTTAACTATTCTATTAAAAAAAATCTTTTCATTAAATATCATTCATTATGACCATGAAAACTGAAAGGTAAAATTGTGCTTGGATCCCTCAGGAAAAACAATTTAAAGAAACTGTTCATTCCCTAAACCTCATTTTTATCTGACTCAGTTTGTCTTTCTTTCTCCACACAGCTTCAACATCAAGTGATATTGTGAGGCTCAATTGATGACAAAATAAAAGCACACAGCCTTGAAATGATATGAGATGTCAAAAGGACGGAGAGTCTCTCTCTCTCTCTCTCTCTCTCTCTCTCTCTCTCTCTCTCTCTCTCTCTCTCTCTCTCTCTGAGTTAAAGAGTGGGTAATGGAAGTCACAATGAAAATTAATCCACAGGTACAGGCATCCAACAGTCTTTTTGAAGAGCAGGCCGGAATAACCTTGATACTCAGGCAAGAAAGCTTCACTTTATTCAGGTTTTACGTGTGTGCTCTAAAATCATGTTGGAATGTCTGTGTGAGCAATACTTTTATAATTCAAGAAGGTTTGACAAAACCACGACAATAATAAAAAAAAAGTGTGTGTGTAGGGGTGTGGGGGCAAATGAGATATAATTTACCTTGTACAACAACCCTCAGTCTGTGAATATAATCATTCATGTGAACCTGTTTGTAGAACAGAAGAATGTTAGCAAGGACAAAGACTAACTTATATTAGTTACCTCAAAGATTTTCACGCATTCTTTTGAGTGTAAAAAAGCACTTATTTCAACATTTTACCCAAACTGATTTTTTAAATGTTTATGATTTTTCTTTTCATTGGACATGTGTCTACTGCCGAGTTATAATAAAACAAACAAACAAAAAAGCACAGCAAGAAAAGCCAAGATAGTCAGTTAATGGCCTGGTTTCGAACAGACAAGGCTAACGTTAGATGAAGCCAGGATTAGCAGGCCTTTTGTACAATTAGGACATTTAAGTAGCTTTAAAAATATTACTGGTGTGCATCTTGAGACAAACAATGGCAAATTTTAAGGTTTATTCAATTAAAACAGCTCAAATATACATTTTAGTCTTGGACTACAATTTTCACTATCAAAGTTTATAGTTAACAAAAATCAGAAATCTCACACACTCCTTACCTTCTGCATTTTATAATAATTCCTTTTCCTGAGTCGACTCTCATCTCACCACAAAAAGACTTAATTCGGCACGCTTAATTCGTGAATTCGTAATTGGCGCGTTTTACCCATAGACTGTGGTTTTACCGTTAGTGTGCAGTGCGCGTGACATCTACGTGTCAACAAATTAATTGCACATGTCTTCTTGTGGAAAAATACTGTAGCCGGAGCTACTTCTCCATTAATGTCTATAGCGAGTCACGCAGGCACTGGGCAACTCCGCATCCTCGACCCCCAGGATAAAATAGTCCGAATATAAATACTTATCATAGGCGTACCGTGGTGATTGATTTAGGATAAGTCAAAAACACGGTTTGGAAAATGGATTCATGATGTAACCTACTCGTTCATTTTGAACATAAGTTACGGACTGCAGCGGCTGATACAACAGCGTTCTGTTGCGCGAGCGTCCACTCGCATATGCGACATTTTTTACTCGCACATTTTGAAGAAAAAAAAAAGAAAAAAAAAAAGGTATGGCGTATGCAATCAATTTGGCCTCGTCTGTAAAACCGGGTTAATATGACAAAAAATATAATTCAAGTATAGTTTTAGTAGACTTGGAATGGGGCTTTTATCTGCTTTTGTGGAGCTCAACAGTAGAAACACCACTTTAGTTGAATGGGAAAAAAAGCAGTCTGGATCTTCTTCTAAATAAATATTTTTTTAGTGTTTCACTGAATGGTATAATTAAATTTTGCATAAAGAACTACCCTTTGATTGTTGTTCTCACACACATAAAAGTAAAATGTGCCTCCAATATAGCCTAAACATTGTGTGTCAAACGGTCAAGCCAAAGGGAAAAATAAACAAGTCTCGTCATAAAAAATTGCTATGCAAAGTTCCCAAAACTCAGAGCGTGTGTTGCATCACAGTCTACAAACCACTTGGAGAGAGAAGAGTACGACAAGTTCTCCTGCACTTTGAATGTCCTTCTGGACTCTTTATTTCCCATGCATAGTTTGGACAAGTGTGTAGTGGAACTTTTTGTAGTTGAAATGAGAAAAAACAAAGAAAAAAAAACAAAGAAAAAGGTTGACATTCATTATTTTTCCATCAACATTTTTAATTATTCACAAAGTATTTTAATTACCTTTCACTTGTGTTAAAATGTTCTAAATTCACGAGTTAGTCCTTCGGGGATAGGTTTGAACAAGAAAAAGTGCTGTAAAAACATAAATACATACAAAAAAGCTTCTATAACTAAAACATTCAGCATTTTTGTACAACACAGTGCAATAGAAAAGGGATCTGGAAAGGTCAAAGGTTTTCAGCACTGGTCTTTTGGACTTGTGAGAGTCGCTAAATGATAAAACAATGGAATTGTAAACGCCCGTCTGTGTTGATGACGGTTGCAACACCGTTTTAAAACCACAACAGCAGAGAGAAATTATAACTTTTCTCATTTGCACACACTTTTGCGTGTTCCTGCTCTTACCGCAGAGATGACTGAGGTTGTTTTTTTTGTAACACAGGAAATGGGAAACACCACTTGTAACATACACAAAGTCCACTTAGTGGGGGAGAGTGACGAGCATTGTGGACATAAGTGACCCGTTGTTTCAGACATAGTGACAAGAGTCTTTGTTAAGGCTTTGCCAAGGTAGCCTGCACAGGAGAATAGATTGCATGACGCTGTTCTTTTCAACATACACGCACATGTAGAGGAGCATAAAACGTCACTGAGTCATCATTGAGAATGAGAGAAACAGAGCAAACGAGAGAAGGACAAGAGCGATGCATCATTGCCAGTTTAAGAAAGAAGCAATACGAGCAATGAGTCAGTTTCCAATTCTCTTTCTTTCAGTGGCCTTCAACATTATTCAACAGTGTGCAAGACATTGATATGAATCTTCTATGCTATACTTCATTTCAAGGTAAAAAAAGAAAAAAGACCAAACAAGCATGCCTTTCTTTGCATGTCCATGACAGTTTGTCAGATTACAGATGGCACTTTTCAGCAGGTTAAAAGGGTTTTGGATTTGAAGCAGTGAAGGTTTTTTGTTAGGGACAAAGACAAGGTGAGCTGGTGACTAGAAACAGAACAACCATCTTACACTGTTTGAAATCCAAACCCTAAAACCCTACGACAGTCCTTGGATCCGAAATGCACATCCATCTGATGGAAAACGTCTGTCTGGGAGCCAAGACCAAATACTGAGACGGAATAGTTTGTGCCGTCTTCTCCCGTGCTAGACCAACACTTAAAGAATTACTTCTCAAGTCCCATTGATCAATGCCAAAAAAAGTCAAATATGACATATTCAAGAACCAAGAAAATACACCACACTGAAGATTGAAATGGATCCTTTTGACAGTATTAAAACGAAAAAAAAGTATTTCTTTAAAAAGAAACTAGGTAGTATTTAACTCGCATGAAATGCAATAGGAATCAAATGATAAATAGTTTCTTCACATTTTTTCTTTCATCTTGAACTGGTAACCAGGTGACATTTCAACTGGGTTACTCAGTTTTTTACAAAAAATTTTTTGAGTCAGTGTATTGACAAAAATCTGCCGACTGGTTTCTATAGAGACCTCCACTAGGGGTCAGAATTTACCTCAAATCAGCAATTTAGAACAAAAAAAAATGGCTCAGACAAACAATCTTTTACAAATATACAATGCCATCATTGATTAGAAGGAACATAAGAACATAGGAGTGATTAAAACACAATTTTCAAAAGCTAATTAAAGGGTTACTTTCCATCAGCAGATTTCTAAACTTAGAAGTGAAATGAGAAGTCTGCAGGAATGTGGGAATAGGTCAGTGGGGCACATTCTGTGTGCAGGTAGTCTCATCTCTTAGTGTGATAAAAACTTGACCCATAACATGTAATAAGTTACCATAGTAACAACTCCAGATAACATGGTCAGCATGAAAACCTCTGTATCTGGCTAGTAACAGTCCCGCTATCATGCTCTGTCCAGATCAGGTCGGGCAGTGCCGTGATTGGCACTTCTATGCATTAGAGGAATGGCAGAATGGACTAGGTAGAGGGCTCACTTGACATGTTCGGCACTGTGAGAGGAACAGTAGTATTTTTTGTGTGCAATGAAAGTGGAGAGGCTGCTGAATTTGATGTTACACAGCCGGCAGTAGCGTGTGTTCCCATTCTGCATGGGTGAGACGAGGGGTGTTTTAGGCATGGCCGGAGTTGTGTGGGCGTGGTTTACAGCAAGGACCGCCTTTTCAGGGAGGAGTATGGGCAATGGGGTGTGGCTTAGCTGCCCAACCTCTCTAAGCGCTTCAGGCACAGGTGATACAGTTACTCCTGTAGGGGAGAGGGCAGGGGGTACAGCTTTTGGAGAAGCAGACCCCACAGACTTGGGTTCTACTGGACTTCCATTAACTACAGGTAAGGAAGGAGAAGTTGCTTCCAACTTGATGCTCCGGCCATTCACACTGTCCTTATGGGCCCGAGGGCTTGGTTTAGGTGGGGTGAGAGGAGCTCCTTCCCTAGGGCTTAGGCTAGAACTGGGACTCACTCCTGCGGACTGCGCCTCAAGATGTTGCTGTAGTGTGAGCACCAGACCATGAGTTGTTTTAAAATGCTCCATCAGATCACAGGTCAGCAGTTTGTTGGGAGGGCAGTAGGGACACATCACTGGGGAGGTGCTCGGGGTCTTTGCTCCCTGCACATGTGGAGGGGTGGTTTCAGAGCCAAGCAAGGTGGACGGATATGCAACCACCGCAGTTTTACCTATCTGAAGCCCTTTGGCATCAGAGTTCTTCGGTGAAGTGGAAGTGGGTCTCTTTAGCCGGTTAAGCTGCTCCATAGTTTGCGGTTGCAGGGTAGTTGCCCGGCAGTAGTAGGTCTTGTGGGCCAGGTAGTTCTCAATGCTGTTGAAGCTAATGCTGCAGGCGGTGCACTTGTGGTAGTCAGTAAGGGGGAGAGCGGGAATGCTGCTCCCACTTTGGCTTTCTCTTAGTCGGGGTCTTTTGCTTAAGTCGATGGGTCCATCGCCCTCAGGACTTGAGCTTTGTGTTGGTGTGGACATTTGGGGCAAAAGAGGAATGGAAGGGCCCTCTTGTTTCACCCCCAGACTTGTTGCTGCCGGCAAAGCAGTGGCATTAGCTAAAGCCTCGGTTTGAGCCATGTGGATCTCGTACATCTTCTTGCGCTTGCGCGTGCGGATAGGTTGGGGAAGGAAGGCTGTCTTGCCAGAATGGGGTCGCTGGTTGGAGGGATCATGTCTTGAGGCACAGTAGAATCTCTTGTGGACAATGTAGTTATCATGACGACTGAAGCGAATGTTGCAGGCCTGGCAGAAGGTGCGAGTGGGATCGTCGTCTGTGTCTTCAGCGGAGCCACTAGGACTTTGGCTACCCTCGCTGGCCTGCCCACCCCCAGGTCCCTCTCCCTCCGAGGACGACGAGCAGGTGAGATCTTTCATCCCTGAATCCTCACTTTTCATCTCCACCAACTTTGGCTCAGAGGCTGTGCCTCCTGTTGCCGTGTCGGGGTAGCTTGGAGAGGCTGAAGCCGCACGACTGACCGGTCTGGCCTGAGGTGAAGCAGCTTGGGCAGTAGGAGGAGCAGCAGCAGTGACCGCCCCTTCCTTCGTCAGACCTGCTGCCTCTCCCTGCTGATGCCTGCTGGAGCAGTAAAGCCTCTTGTGGACATAAAAATTGTTGATGTTGTTGAAGGTGATGTCACATTCAAAGCAAGTGGCTCCCTTTTGAACGCTGGCAGGAGAGCCTGGTGGATAGAAGGTCTGCTGTCCGGCTGCAGGTCCTTGTCCCTGTTTAAGCCTACTGTGAACCATTTCAGACATCTTTGCCAATATCTCAGATGCTTGTGGCATTATGGCAGACTCAGAATTAAACATGTACTGTGGTAAGAACAATGCCCCTCCAGATACAACTGAACCCCCTGTTCCAGAGTGTGCGGGACTGGAACCTGGGGTGGGACTGGCCGGCTCTGTCTTAACCGCCACCACGGTGGGGCTCTTAGGGGAATTAGACTGAGATGAGCTTGCCTCCACTGCGTTTACTTGAGGACTGCCCACCTGTTCTTCTTCCTTTGCATCGGTTTCATAGTCTGAACATGGCTCCTCTTTGATGGTGAGTTGGTTGAGGGGACTGCAGCCTTGAGAGGCCGAGCTGCCATTGGCTCCTGGGCTCGAAGAGTCGGGTCGGGGCACGCAGGCAACAAGCTCCCTGTCTTGCAGGTCTGGGAGCTCAGAGGAAGGAGGACTGCTCTGGCGAGGAGTGGGGCTCCTTTCAGCTGGAACCCTCACCTCCAGGTGTGTGTGGACATGCTGCTGAAGTAGGGCAGGTGTGTCAGCAGAGTAGCCACACACTTGACATTTCAGAACAATGCCAGAGTCTCCTGGACTCAAGCCTGTCACAAACAAAAAAATGACGGACATTCAGATTCAGGAAGACTCCTTTATGATTAAGAATACTTATGTCTACTTATAGTTTTGGAAAAGTTTTAGAGACAGTATATTTCAATATATTATAAATATGACATTAAACAGCGGGAAAGATATCATTAAAACAGCTTGAGAATAATATCTCATGTAGCATAGAGTGCCGAAGTGATGACGTCACTTTGTAGGACAACTCGGAAGCTATCGGCGCATGGGTTCCCTCGGTCGAAAAGCAATGCATTTTCCCAATAGACTTTTGGAAAATCGCAAAAAATAAGATCTGTGTTTAACAAAGAGTTGTGACCCTTACACGCTTTGTCTAGCATGACATTCTTTACAAGTTAATCCAAAATGTATACATTTTGAAGCCTATATAAAGATTTGAAAAAACACAATCAGACACAATAAAGTTTAAAAAACCATAAGGAAGTTATAACTGTGTGTTCAATGTCAAAGTTCAAAACGTGAAAATATTTAGAGGCTTGTTCACCACAGACCTTATTTTAGGCGATTTAGCAAAAACCTGTTTAAAAATCCCATAGGCTTTAGAACGAGGGAACCGTAGTGCTAAAATGCTAACTCACTTCCGCGTTTTGGTCAACAGAGTGACGTCGTAACTTCGGCACTCTATTACATTTACCTCAGGCATTTAGTGATGACAGCAGGTTAGTTCACAAGATAAATTAACTCTAAAGCATTTAGTATTTGCACTATATTAGCCTATTTACTTAACCTGTTAGTAATTCCTTGATTATTTAATGTATGTTTGAGCTGTTACCTCCAGCCAGTGGTGGTTTAGGTGAGTACACCTCACTTTGAGAGCCAGGCTGGCAAACCATGTGACTGGTGACCAGGTGGCTATACAGGATGTCTCGCGTTGTGGAGATGAAACCACAGCCATGACACAAACCATTCTGAGAGTCTGTGTGAACCTTCAAGTGTCGCTCACAGTTCGCCTTAGTGGTGAAAGCTGACAGGCAAATCAAACACACAAATGGACGCTCTCCTGGAGACACATTAACACACACACACAATTACCTAAAAATCAGATACAAATGACACTTTACTAAACGTTTACAACCGTTTTACGAAGTAAGAAAAGAAAGAAACTGTCAGGAAAGCGTCTCACCGCTGTGTGTTCTCATGTGGATCTCCAGAGAGCTGGCACTGGGGCAGCTTTTGTTGCACTGCGGGAAGGGACACAGCCTCTCGTTAGGGTATGAATCTTTAGGCTTGTCCTGTGGAGGAGAGGCGGCGGTCTGCTGCTTCTGCCGGCTTGCGCAGTAGTACATAAGATGGGCCTGAAGATTCCTCTCACTTCTGTACCAGATCCCACAGTCTTTGCAAGGGAAAATGTCCTCTGCACACACACAAACGCACAAAATACGACTAGTAAGAAACAAAGGTAACAAATGATTATCCTTTCAAGATAAGTTTATTACAGAGGATGTTAAGTGAAGGTTATCCATTCACTTCATGATGTTAGATATTTGTGTGCTTTATGTGTACATTATAAAAAGGACAGAACATGGATTATGGAAATTAAAATTATTTATAAAATGCATACTTGCATAATAGCAATAATGTTTTTGTGACATGATGATATTTCTCCCATTTATTCGGCAAGCCCACTTTTTTAACTGATATCCTCCATTTATTTAACCATATGTGAGATGTTCAATGTTTAGTAATGCACCCATTGTATATATAAATCACACAAACACAATACACTCAAATTTCCAAATCAGAGAAAGCAATCAGAAGCCATCATCTCCACGGCAGAGTTTGTGATGTGCGCAAAAGTGTGTGCATGTAATCGGGCTGATCTGGTGTCAGGGCACAAGTTGAACAGGCTATATTTGATAATGACTGTCACATCCCAATTATACCAGCTAATGCTGCAGGAAGCACAAAGTTGGGCTGATCATTTTTACTCTTTAGCTTTATTTACAGTGATTCATTTCTTCATCATGGCATGTTCGTGTGCACTCCCACTCCTCATGCAGTTTAGCTGATGTTGCAGACAGGGCTGTACCAGCCAATAAACTCCTCTACTGTCGGAACTGACACAACACTTCCACCTACTGGCGATGAGCATGAATGACAAGCAACTTAAAGGTGAAGTCTCGTCCTTTTTCAATGGTAAAATAAGTTGCCATTAAGGACTAGTATGAAAACCATTATTTTTGTAGTTTTGTTTGATGGCTGAACTAATGTCTTCTCCATTGTCAATTCATTTTTCAACATCCAGACACTTTAAAAATGCAAAAATATTCATTACCATTGAAGTAAAATACAAAACTGAACAAGCCAGTGATAAAAGAACAAAATGTATTCAATGATTTTCATTATTTTATTTTCATTTATTTCATTATTAATAATATTTCTTAATATTATTATATAAACAAATGTTCAAAAGGTTGGGTGTGTACAAGGCTGCCCTGCATTTATTTGATTAAAAACACAGTAGGAACTGTAAAATATTTTTTTCATTTAACATTATTTTCTATTAGATTTTACATTTTTTGTGGAGACTTTTTTATGATTATTATTTATGAATATAAAGTTAATAAGGGACAGCATTTACTTGAAATGGTAAAGACTTTTACATTTAGTTCATCCTTGCTGAATAAAAATATTAATTTATATAAAAAAAAAAAAAAAAAAATTCAAATACCATTTACTGTGCTACTCAATGATTACTACATTTATATACCATATTATTTACATGGTTATTTTTAAAAATATTAAATCAGCAGGCTATCAAAAGAATATTGCCATGTTTATTTTGTCAAAAAATGCACTTTCAGTGGAAGTAGACCTAAATAGAACTGACAATTAATTTTAATCTATTACGCATTATGTGTCATGATTTACGTATACATGCAAAAACATGGCCCACCATCCCTAATCACAAATGTAAACACACTCATAAAAATGCAAGAACCTGTGAAGACATGTTGTGTTTATCAGCAAGCAGTGACTCACTATTAACGACAGCAGTTGCTAAGATGGCAGCCATGCCAGCCTGTTGTGGGAGGAGCTGGATCTCAGTGTGCAGAGCAGCGGGATACACAGGCTCCTCCTTCACTCGCACGCCGTGGGTCTGGGTCGCTGCCGAATGATCCGCTGTGGAGCAGGACAGCGTTGCCCGAAGAGCATCTCCACTGGACAGCTCCTGTGTCAGCTTACAGAATAAAGCTCCTCCTGGAAAACAAACTGTCACTGTTAAGACTCTTCATCTCATACGGTAGTGAATGTGAGAGGTGTGTGTGTGTGTTGTTGTTTGTTTGTCATACCCTGACTGTAGATGGTGCAGTTTGACTCAGAGAGGCTTGAGGTCACAGGAATTCTTCTGAGCCAGCAGTCTGGCTCCTTACACTCCAGAGACATTACATGGCTCTAAAACACACAAAGCGGAAGAAAAACATTCAGGATTCAGTGGGACACCTACAGCAGATACAATGGAGAGGTTATAGAAAAGACCCTATTATATTAAAATGAAAGATATTTCTGCTTAAGATTTCTCATTTCCTTTCGAAATTTTTAAATGGGTTCCTTTGCATCCTTTATACACATGAACACATCTATACACATCTGTCTATATGCTGCTGGTATATCGAATACAGTGCTTTCCTAAAAAAATTAAGTCAAAATCAATTAAATGTAATATACACAATTAAATCATGAACATACAATTTCTCAACAAAAATCAAAGTAATATATACGTATTATTCAATTAGGTGGCCTATATTCTAAAGCATAGTACAGCCATAAGGTTGAACCACTATTAATTCCTATAACACTACTGTCCCTACATTTTTCAAAACTACCGCTTTTGAATTGCACTTTACAAGAGAAAACCACCTGTTTATCTGTGAGAGACACTGTGACTTTTTTTCAGCTCAAGAAATGGATTTAAGGTATGTTCAAAGAAATACAAAAAGCATATGCACGTTTAATCCCTCCTTCCTGATACTGTGCCATTAAAATTCAGCATCCAGCATACCTCTTTTACCTTGCAATATCATACAAGCAGACCTACACTTCCAGACCAATAAACAGTTTTTTAATCATTTAACTTTTAGGTATCTTATGTACATTATTAGGAATTTGCCACCTTCAGCTCAATTTGATATTATTATTATTATGATTTTATTTTTTCTTCTTTTTGCATGGAGTTTGCAAAGTGACAAAATGAATCATAGCACAACTAACGTTAGTCCACACTTGTATTTTCTCAGTTTCTGAATTTTATGTTATTAGAGGCTATATAAATGCAAACACAATTTTTCCATCTACTTTTGAGTTGTATTTCATGCAAAGTGATAATATAATTGCACTTTCTTTTTTCTCTGTTTGTTTTTGGTTTTAATGCTGTTATTGGATGCTAAGTTTTTACAATGTGATGTTAATAAAATACATTTTAACAGTTAAACTTAAAGCCTAGTTTCTTTTGTTGGGTTGATTGGGGACAGTTGGGGCTCGGAACCCTTTCCTACCTCAGAAGTGGGGAATAAAAGTATATCACAATGTATTTCTAATACAGGAATGGCAAATTAGCATGTTACCATTATTCAATAAATAAATAAATTAATAAATATGGCGCGAGTTTAACCCCCCACCCCCACCCCCCCCAATGGTAGACCCAAAGTTACGCCCTTGGCCCTGAGTGAGAAAAGAAAGGGGGAAACCCCCAGAAAATCTCAAAGGAAATTCACAAGAGCGGTTGGAAAGGGGATATCATCATGCGGGTATACTTGATCCATTTCAACTGAACATTTTGAGTAAACTAAACAGAGTATACACAGGTGGAAGTGTGTATTAGCAGCTGGCAAATATCCTAATAAACACACCTGGACTCTCCCACACAATCCTTTCATTGTTCAGCTCAAGCATGCGTTTAATGGGAAATTGGTGCGTAATTTTCAAAGTCAGATTTAACAGGTATTCACAATGAGCAGCAGAAAACGACTGACAAAGTCTATCCCAATCCAACCACAATAAAGCCATTATATGGTGGTGATGATAACAGGCTGTACATGAACTGAAGGGTTCAAAAAATTGCACGTCTCATTCAAGAGCCGATTATTTGAGTGTGACTGATCCGTTCCACTAGGTGGCAGCATTTCTGCAGGCCAAGTTCATTAAAAGCCTAATGTGTAAGAAAAGATTCCCATTCCTTTATTCACTCGGCTACACTAAGTTAAAGACATGCCCTTGGGGAGACTAGTCCTTATATCCCTGACATGCTACCAAATCAACTTTAAAGACAGGAGAAAATGAAAAAGACATTAGTTCAACTGTGTAAAGGAGGATAAAAAGCCACCAGTCGAGAGGATGAGGAAAAGAGATGGGCCGCAGAGGAGGACAGCTGAAGGGTTTCTTTCTAATTCTGTCTGTTCTTGCCTGAAGATACAGTCCGTATTGTATTTCATGGGGAACTAGTGCTGATAAGGAGATAGGGCTCCTTTTGTTTTAATTTGAAACCCAATGCTGGAGCCGTCTGTGGCATAAGTGCTGCGTGCTTCTGCTAATTTGTTTCAGACTCATTTAACACGACTCGACTTTAAGCTTCACAAAAGGAGAGGGCAGCCTGGTCAGCCCTCGCCTTTGACAAAACACTTCCAGACAAACGCGCTCTCTAATTAAACACACACACACATATTGACACACAGACTGATCTGCACACGCAGATGCACACGGAGAGTAAAGTGAAGATGTAAATGGTTATGACCCATTGTGAATAGCGAACAAGAACCGGTTCAAATCGATCAAGACAAACACAGCGGGTCCTTATTTTTATTTGGAAGTGGCGAGGTGAAAAAAAAAATGGTAACGCTTCCTTTTACAGTACAGTACTTACAGTGTACTTACCTAGAAAGTACTGCTAATATAAGGTAAGTACATGGAACAGGGGTAGGTTCAGGGTTAGTACTAGTTATTACCCAGTATTGTAGTTACTAAAATAAGTACATAGTATTTACATGGGTAACTGGACTGTAAAAGGAAGCATTACCAAAAAAATTAACACAAGACTAAGTAGAAAATGACCAATATTTCATAGAGCTCAAAGTTGATCATCTGACGCACACTGAATTATGTAGCATAGGCAAGTCTACTAAAAGTAACATCTGTTGTGACTTGCTAATTAAACATTTATAAAGATGTTATTTTTGCAGTGAAGTATCAATTTGGAATCTTGCTTAAATGTATCTGAACATCATATTATACCATTTATAAACCATGTTTAAGTTGAAACCAAATGATAAAGACAGGGCAGACAGTGTTCACACTGCTTGGTTCGATTAAAACGAACCCTGGAGCGATTGCTCTGTTAGTGCAGTTCATTTGAATAAATGTGAACGCTTGGCGCACAACAAACAAGCAAACAGAAATCACTAAAGTCCACTTCCAAACGAACTGGTGCGGTTCGAATGATATATGAATGAAACACGGACCAAAGACATGTAAACTAACCAAAAACAGGAAGATGCGACCCTAAAAAGGACAGAAATGCTCACGCACACCTATTTTTTCCAATGCATTCTCATCCCAAGGCGTCATATATGACGCTTTTGCCAAAGCGTAGACATCCAACACACATGGCACCCTTTAGTGTCAATATAACACGCACAGACTATGGGTAGGTTTAGGTCTGGGGTTGAGTTAGGGTTGAGACCACTAGGAGGCGCCTTCTGCCCCATATATAGCTGCATCTCATATTGACGCTAAAGGGTGCCATGTGCGTTTGGATGTCTACGCATTGGCAAAAGCGTCGTATATGACGCCTTGGGATGAGAACGGGCTGGTTTTTTCTTGTCATAGTCGCGATGTTGCCCATCACAGTTCAGTACAGGAATCAGAACAGTGTCTTCTCGTGCGTGACGGAGGGATTCCTGACGCTGTTTTGACTCCTTTACACATTTTACAAGCTCTTCAAGAATTCTCAGCTGGTCAAAATACCCATCTAACGAGCGCATTTATTCCAGCACACAACATTGTTTTGGATGTTCGGTAAGTTCTGTCAAAAAATACGCAATACGTCATTAAAGCCGATTAATCTGGTTGTGAGCATATCCCTATACCTTTAGGTTCGATGTTAAAAATGCCAATCAGAACGCTAAATCCGGACCAACCCAACCGAACTACAAGTGTGAACACATGTTAAAGGTAATAAATAAGGCCCCACTTTGAAAGAGGAAACGTTCTTGTTGTAACAGGCCTGAAAACGCAGGTGACGTAGTCCTGCCACCTCTGTTCAGCGTGGGTGGAGAAATCAGACTATTGTGAAGGAGGAACAGCACATGTTTTAGAGTGTAACCCTGGTGTTGCTGAATATGCCCCCCACCCCCTCACTCAAAAGGAACTAGGGTACTTTGAGAACGGCTCTTTAAGCCCCACGGAGTGCGGAGCTTTGAGGAACAGTCTAAGCCCCCTCGTCCGAGTCCTGCTCCCTCATGAATATTAATGACGACGGCCGTGCTTTAATCTGCCTGATCCCCGCACTGCTGCCGCCGCCCTGATAGCGAATCTAATTATTTGGTCTGATATTAACCAGCCCCCTCCCTCTCTCCTCCTTACACACGCACGCCATCAGGAATAGAGGTAGATGCACCTTTCCACACAAACACACACTTGTGCACCACCATCATACCACAACACACTCTCATAGTCAAGACTGGTGAATGGCACTCGCGGCGTTATCGTTCTAAAAAACGTCCTTCTCTCGCTCTGATAAAAGTTGAATGCAAATGATTCTTGGACGATTTTCATTTCGCATTTTTTCTCCTTTTGGTGGAAAAAAATAAAATAGTCTCCTTTAAAGAGAAAAACAGGGCCGTATCTCTCTATGACCCTACAGTGTGAGGGGGATTGGGGGATGAGACGTCTAATCAGTGTTAATAGCCTCAATTTACTGAGATTACTGAAGAAAAAATGTTTGTTGACTTGACTTTGCGATAGTAAATATAAAAGGGAAAAGATTCATCAAAACTATAGTTGAAAGAAAATGACAAAATCGAGAAGAAAATGATCAAATGAATTGATTCAATTATAGTATGCTGGGGTTTGATTTGCTGTAACTGACAGAGCGAAGACTGGGGTCGGTCAGATTTTTTATGTTTTTGAAAGAAGTCTCTTCACTAAAGCTGCATTTATTTGATCAAAAACACCGAGAATTGAGAATGAAACGTGGTCTGGAAACCATGTGTTCATTTTCTCGTATTTGAGGCGTGGTTTACGAATGCCCGTGTTATTGGGTGCTACGAATGTCTATCAAATGTGCCTGTACGTAGCTCATAGCCAATCAGGTCAATGATACCAGATGACATATGTAGAGCGACAGAAAATTAGACGAGGAAAAAGACGATGGGTCAGAGATAAAACGTAAAACTTTAAAT